GCTCGTAAACGTTTTGTTAAAAGTTATTGAAATTTCACTACATGAACTAAATATTAATGAATATAAATAAATATAATAATAAATAATAATAATGAATATTAATGAATATAAATATAAATGATCTAAATATTATTTGTTCAAAAAAAAATTAAATTAATATCATACATATTTTAAAGTTCATCTCATTTGTTAATCCAACATATAACGATATTAAAATTAGAATAATATTTCTATAAAACGATTACTGAATTTATTTATTTACTTAAAATAATTTGACTCACCTCCTATCGATGAACATATACATAATAAACGCGCCTAATTTACCATCAATAATGCACATGCGCAGCGCTGAAGCTGAAGCTGTATATCTACCAGTATTTATTATTCTATGGAGTGGCGTTCTCACCTATGCTGAAGTTCGTCTCTCTACCGTCGATGGCGCTGAGATAGAATTTCTTCAAACCTTACAACACTGAACGAAAGCTAAGTACATATGTATGCAAGTTCTTTATGTAATTAAATATGGATCTATGTACGCATTTCCTAGACTGCGAATCATCGTGCAAAATAAAATTTTTTGAATTAATTACAAGAAATCGGATTCAAATAAAAATTTCTTCAAATTTAACAAATAATCGGAAAACAATATTGTGTTGGTACTAAAATCCTTTTAGTTCCTTATGTAATTAAATATGGATCTATGTACGCATTTCAATAGCTGGTTATGGTCAGCTACATAATATGTAATGCCATTCCTAGACTGCGAATCATTGTGCAAAATAAAATTTTTTGAATTAATTACAAGAAATCAGATTCGAATAAAAATTTCTTCTAATTTAACAAATAAAATCGGGAAACAATATTGTGTTGGTACTAAAATCCTTTGAATATTTTTCTACATTTTTAAGTTCGACCTACTCGTAAATACATAAAATCTATAGTCTAGTCACTATAATAATTTGGAAAGATACAATAATGAAATTAAAATCTTTTTTGCAGCCTCTCATCTCATACGAAAGGTGCGCAATGCAGGATAAATTGACCTTATTATATAAAATCCTTTGAATATTTTTCTACATTTTTAAGTTCGACCTACTCGTAAATACATAAAATCTATAGTCTAGTCACTATAATAATTTGGAAAGATACAATAATGAAATTAAAATCTTTTTTGCAGCCTCTCATCTCATACGAAAGGTGCGCAATGCAGGATAAATTGACCTTATTATATAAAATCCTTTGAATATTTTTCTACATTTTTAAGTTCGACCTACTCAAAAATACATAAAATCTATAGTCTAGTCACTATAATAATTTGGGAAGTTACAATAATGAAATTAAAATCTTTTTTGCAGCCACTCATCTTATACGAAAGGTGCGCAATGCAGGATAAATTGACCTTATTTAGCTAATTTTTATTGTCGAATGTTAAATGTACAAATGAAGTTTAATTGTATCACATTTTTACAGTCGTGAAAGTTTTAAACGTTATTTTGGTAATAAATTACTTGAAAAGTTTTGACTGAAAAAGAAAATTCACAAGAAAATTAAATTTGATACTTTGTGTCAAAAAAGTACGTGTGCATTTAAATGATTGCCGACTGTAGATTACGGAAGCAGCAACCAAAAAGTTGTACACACGAAAATAAGGAGAAATTGTAAAGATTTTGTTCAGATTTACCATTTTAATGAAGCTTATTGATGTTTTCAAAAGAATTCACTTCGATAATTCGAGTACTCTTACATTTAACTAAATCTCGTCGCAACATGATTAAACTCGATTTTGCTGTAAATGATACCTTAAACAAGAAGATTTTACTTTACAATGATTTTCGTATGAAGAGTAATCTCTTATTATTTATATACCTATATTCTATATACAATTTTGTATGTTATAGAGTAATTTTTTATATTACCTAAATGTAATCAATCTATTTTTTCGAAAACGGGATCTCAAACGAAAAAATTTGTATTTTATAATTTTAACTTATTTCTGCTCACAGTGTCAGTTCATATCGCGTCTTTCGATACATTTTGTATTATACACAGGAAGGATATGAAGTAATTTAGCCAGGAAATCAAAGGAAATGATCGAATCGTACAAGAGGATTGCATTTATTTTGTATAAAAAAAAAATACGTAGAAAATCAGTATATACATAATAATACATAATTAAAATATCTACAAAGGGTAGAGTTGTATTTTTATGTCCTTTACCTCTCTGAAACCTTTTTTCTTTTCACGTTCGTTGTAATCTTAGGGTAACATGTAGGATGACAGAACGCGTTTCATATTGTATATCCAGGCTTGGCACGCTAAAGATGTATCCTTCGTTCGTGAAGTACGTAAACTGTCTACTATGGTATGCCATAGAGTTTTGTTCGTACGGCGTAAGTAGTTAGTGGGACGTGAAATTCGAGTCGTCGAAATTACTGTCAGAATTGCTCTCGGCGGCATCCACGAATGCTGTGGACAAATCGCCGGACAATTTGCTGACGGATTGCGAGACGACGTCATACATGAAGATCTCCTTCTCGCCTTGGTCAACTTGGTCTTTTGGCCTGCAACATCGATAGGACATTGTCGCTTAACCGTTTGCGCACCACCAGCCACTTTTGCGCTCTTCGGATTTCGTGTCGAGAAAAGCCAGGCCATTTGGCCGATTCTAATTCGAAGAAATTTGTCGAAATGTGCTCAGTCTTTCGGACGCGTGTATACGTCGCGCGTCGCATCGCTGTCAGTAATTCAATTTGCACTTTGTTGTTACCTATTCTAAATTATATATACTATTAATATATAATATATATATAATATATACTATTACTATATATATATAATTATATATATATATACTATATATACTATTATTAGTATTACTATATATATACTATATACTATATATATACTATATACTATATACTATATACTATATATATATATATATATATATATATATATATATATATATATATATACTATATACTATATACTATATACTATATACTATATATATATATATATATATATAATATATACTATTAATTTAGAATAGGTAACAACAAAGTGCAAATTGAATTACTTTTGAATTGAATTACAACAACATATATATTCATTCGTAACGTTTTATTTCATGTTTTACGTCTTTTTTCGACACATAATCGAAAGAGCGCTATCGCGCCCTTCGGCTTTTCTCGGCACATAATCGAAGGGGCGCTATCGCGCGCTTCGGCGCTTTTCGATTTTTCCAGGACCATCTGGTACGCAAACGCGGTTAAGTCTAACTAAGTGAAGAAAGTGAAGTCTATCGAACTCAAACGATTACCCATAAACGGGCACAACACGCGGAAGCCGATCAAAGCGGCCGCGGAATATTGCGATAGAAGAAAATATGGCTCATTAAAGAACGTGATAGCACATCACCGTCTTAAAGCGAACGGTGGTGAACGCGAGCGGGCAAGGGTGATTAGTTATGGCATAGCGAGCGTCACTTACATGGTTACCAGGAGAACCACCGACTGCTTCTGCGGCTCGGTGCGACTCTCTTGCTCCAACCACTTCTTGTAGTTCTCCGCGGATGGCTTTTTCACCAATTGCTTCAACGTCTCGCCAGCGAGAAACTTGACTGCTTGCACGTCGCTGGCCCGCCTGCTCTGCCTCGACTCGGTCTCCTTCTCGTCTTGAAAGTTATAATCGACGGGCGCCAACACGACCACGCTGGAAATCTTCCGACCGTTCAGCTGGGGCGCATCAGGGATAGGAAAAGACGCGCCGCTCACTTTGAGCGGCAGGTAACGATTATACTGAGCCTCGTCCCTGGCTCCCACGGTTACGGGGCTCAGCCTGGTAGCATCATCGCGTATGTGCTGATCCGCGATCGCCTGGCCTTGCTCCGTATTCGGATCGAAGCGTACTACTTTCATCTCCACGCCTCCCGGGCGCAGAGTGGCCTGCTCGAACTTAGTCGAGCTGCCGGTGGCCGTCGTCTTCTTCGGCAGAACGACTGTAGAAACGACGGAAGAAGAGGTCGCGGAAGAGTCGGACGAGTCTGCCGTTTTGGGTTTCTTGATGATGGCCGGTACCGGTTCGCTGGCAGCCACCGCGGAAGCCCCTCCGGCGCCGTAGAAATTCGCCAGGGCCTCTGGCGGTAGTTTCTCGATCGGTATGTCGCCGACCTTGTCGTAATCCAGTATTTGTATGTCGGCGTTACCCAAAATGCCGGAGCTCAGCAACTGCTCCCTGATGTCGTCCGGCACCTCGTCCGGCAGGTTCGCGATATTCTCCCGAATTCTAGCTTCGCTCTTTGGGGAAACGGTGGTCGTCGTTGGTGCCTCGGTCGTCGTCGTCGTCGTGGTCGTCGCGGTCGTTGTGGTAGCGGCGGGCGTTGTGCTCGAGATGAATGGTCTAATCGTGGATATCGCGTTGAAATCTTCCGTGTTGGTTACCGGCGTTGCGTAAATCTTCTGAGAGGGGTTCAACGAATAGGACGGTCGCGCCCAGATCGACGATCTCTGGGACGAGGACGGGAACCGCGACGGTTGCGGCGGTTGCGATTGCAGCTGTTGCTGCGAATTTTGTAGATTCTGCGAGAAAAATGATTGCTGTTGATTCTGGAAGATCTGTTGCTTCGTGTTCAGGTGTTGTTGTTGGTCGTTCAGAAATTGATTCGACGGATTTCGTATTAAAGCTTGACTTTCCGGCGACGGGCTCGGCGATTGGATCAAGCTGTACTGGCTCTGCGACGGTTCCGGAAATCCCGTCGGCTGGATCAGAGGATTAGGCGGGAAGGGGCCGGGATGTAGCGGATTCTCTCGAATCGCGTAGTGCTGCTCTAATTTTGGAACAGCTTTGAATATCTCTCCGCCGGGTTTCTGAGCCTGTGGCTGAACCGGTATTTGCGGTATACCCGGTACCGGTTGCGGTTGATTGTACTTCAACTGGGCCCGGTACTGTTGCTCTTGCAACAGCTTCTGTTCCTGTTCTTGCTTCCTTCTGCGTTGGTCTTGCAGTCGCTGTTGGTCTTGTATCCGTTGTTGGTCTTGTATCCGTTGTTGGTCTTGTATCCTTTGTTGCTCCTGGATCCTTTGCTGTTCCTGAATCCTTTGCTGTTCTTGCACCCTCTGCTGCTCCTGTATTCTCTGCTGCTCCTGTATCCTTTGCTGCTCCTGTATTCTCTGCTGCTCCTGCAGCCTCTGGTGATCCTGCTGCCTCAACTGCTCCTGGTGTCTTTGTTGCTCCAGCAATCTCTGTTGCTCCACTTGCCTGTGCTGGTCGACGTGCCTCTGTTGCTCCGAGTGTCTCTGTTGCTCCGAGTGTCTCTGTTGCTCTAAGAACCTCTGGTGCTCTTGAAGCCTCTGTTGCTCGTGTTGCCTTTGGTGCTCGCGGTGCTTCAGCAGCTCTTGCTGGCGGCGTTGCTCGTGGTATCTTTGCTTCTCTAATTCCTGTTGCTTGAAAACGGGCAAAGGCTGTTGCGGTGGTTGCTGCGCCGGTTGCTGCTGATCCACGTTGAACGGATTGGCCTGGTTGATCGGCAACGGTTGATTTTGTATCTGTACACTTTGATGGGAAACCGAGAGCGTAGGAGGAAATCCTGGTTGCTGCGGATGATTGATGCTCACACGATGAGGCGGCCCATTGAAGCTGCTGAACGGTGCGCGTTGCTGTACTTCCGGCAAGCCTTGTATCGTAATAGGCAGCCGTTGGGGCCTTGGCAACGGGTTTCTCGTCTGCGGCGGCGGTGGTGGGAACGCGGGCTGTTGCTGCAAGAAGCCTAGAGGTGGTTGCTGAGGCGGCTGTTGCAGCGTTTGCTGTGGGAACGAATTAGCGATCCTCTGTTGCGGAAACGCGGACGGCACTCTTTGATGCGCCGGTTGGATCGGCTGATAGGGGCCGTGCTGTCTCTTCGGCGAGCCGGGCGGAGTAGAGGCTGGTTTCGAGTGTTGGGTAGGAGGTGTCTCCAGGTCGCTGCGCTTGTTATGATTGTTCGGCGGCACCTGTTCCGTGCCGAAGGTAACGCGTATCCCGCTAGAACCGGAATGGTACACTTCACTGTCCGGTCGAATAATCGCTCTCAAAGTCGTGGACGGTTCCGACGGTGCCGGCGTCGCTGTGTGAACAGGTTCTTCTTGGTAAGGCGCCGGGTTATCAGGCTTGATCTCTTCGTGCTCTTCGACAGGTGTCAGCGCGGGTACCGGCGGCTCGTAGACGACACGGGTTTTGTCCCCGTAACCTTTCTTCTTCTCGTATTTCACGTAGAACACCTGTATAGGCTCTTTAGTTGGCCTCGGCGTCGGCGGCGGTGGGGGCGGCACGGGCGTGGGCAAAGATTCGTTCGATTCCTTGATGATAATTTCGATGATCGGCTCCGGTTCGGTAGGATAATAGTTCAACGGGCCCTCCTCGTAAAGGTCGTCGCTCTTCGAGCTCGCCAGGGGATTGTAGAGCGGATCTCTCTGGGAATATTGAACGATCGGCTCCATTTGGACCGCGTAAGGCGGCGGTCTAGCTCCTCGTCGCGGATAGAATGCGACCTGTTGCCTCTTGTCCCGGCTTTTCGGAGGCTCATCTTTGGCGACGGTCGCGGCAACCAGGGTCGTTACGATAATCTGAAACGGTGAAACTACGTCCAAGTCTTCGCAAACCGGGATAAAAAAAATCAACTGTAGCAAGAGGGTGTCCGGTTACGGGCGTAAAACGCATTCGTAGAAAGATCGGTTGCGCGTTGGTAACCGAGTGACCCGATTCATAACGAGAAGAAACATCCTGCAAGGCCTTAAGCGGCCAAATCGATTGGTATTCTAGCGTCGCCGAATGGACAGTTACTGCTACCCTGATAAGCGATTCCCAGCCGCAATCGTGTTCCCGATATGGCGAGACCGCGTTACGGATGTCACGCCGTCGGATATCGGATGTTTTTCGCGTGTAAAATTCAGCGAACAGAACAGAGATCTCTTGGCTGTCCGGTTCGCATGCTGGCCGGAGAAAGAGAAGGGGAGAAAATTTAGGTTTTAGATTCACGGCGTGCGCGTTTCACCTCGAGAATTCGGTGACTCTCCTAAAGAAGGGGACGACTTCTTAATATTCCTCGAACAAAAAGAAAACTCGTCTCCGGCGAACGCGGTCGCAACCAAGTTCATTTACGTGGTCTTAATGCTAAGCACCAGGCAAACGCCTGCGTCGTCGGTCTACGTCGCCGCGCGATACTTTTTACATTATTTCGGAAATACGTGTAATACGAACAATTTGCTAAACATATACAAGAACGCTTCGTTAAACTGATATACTTTCCCTCGCTAAGTAGCCGACGGCGACACGCTGGCTGATTGCAAATGATAGAACCGCGTCGAATGTTTCCCGCAAACTACGGGAGACGCGCTTATTACGATGAAAGTATTAAGCGAGCGTGTTCTCTTAAACGGGCTACTCATTTTTCTTAACGCGACACTACGGAGAGTTTCACCGGGCGCCGACGCCGACGCGATGCGACACGCCAACAACGCCGGACTTGCATTTTTCTTTCTCCTCTTTTCATTTCTTTTCCCCGTTATAATTACCAGTTTCAGGAAGCGCATGGCGTGTCTTCTCGATTCGTCGCTCGCGAACAACACAGCCTCTTTTTCTTCGTCGATCTCTCCGCAGTCACACTACACCGACTTCACGTGTTAACTGAACCGAGGGGGTGGTTAACTCGCGGTAAGCAACATGATATCCACAGGACCGGGCATGTACTGAACGATATTGAATGGAGCTTCGCATGGGAACTGAGGACAGATTGGGCCCAGAGGCCCGTTTCTCCCTGCCTGGTGCCACCACCACCACCACCACCGGGGTCTTCAAGAAGCTCCTCTCTAATATCGAATACGGTGGGGCACCTTTCTCTGGCTAGTGGCTACGTACTACGTACGCTTCGCGGCTGGTGTAAAGCAACGTTTAAACCTGCGCCGTGCGGGACATACAGAGAGACGCGGTTCTTCCAGATAAAAAAAAGAAAAACGACAAGGTTCGAGCACACGAAGAGCCAGAGAAGCGGGAAGGGGAAGCGGCCGAAGTCGCCGGCGACTTTCTTCAAATCGGGCTCTCCCGATCGAAAGGAAAGGAAGATGATTATATTAACGGAGCGTTACTTTTCCATTGACCTCCAAGGCCTATCGAAACCGAAACCTACCTTTCATCTAGGAGAAGGCCGTGTCCCCCTACTGGCGCATCACACGCCCGCCGAATTATTCGGTGAAAGAGACTACCGCCTTCTAGTTAGCAAACGTAGACGATCAAGACACCGGGGCGCACGCGTGTGCGCCAACGAGGCACATGCGAGCGCGCCAATGCACTTATCATTACTTTCGCTAAAGCCTCGCGGCGGTTCCAAGCGAATGATTTCTTACGAACGAATCATTTCCTGCGTGTATAATGACCTTTCTTCCGCGGCGATAAGCATATTCTTCCAATCACTTTTGCCGTTTGTCGGTGAACGGACTGATAATTGGACGGTTAATATCGGCTCCTTGTTCTATATATATATATACATTTCTACTAATTCGTTTTTAATTTTGATCCTCGCGATATATAAATACTGATTTTACTTTATGCGAGAAAAATTGATCTTAATGCATTTTGCGAGATATAAGAATTACAAAGACATTCATTCCTTTTCTGAATCATTTCAACGAGTTGAAAGTAACGCGATCATATTTTCAAATTGTTTAAACGATTTTGTTATCTTTCGTTTCATCCGCTTAATCCTTTTTTTTACGAACGCATAAAATTCGCGGTCTACCGATCTATTAACTTTCCTTCACCGCGATTAATCGATAGCCTACATACACACGTGATCGAACAGTTCGTTCAAATGTTTTTGTTAGCTCTCGTTCGTCGATAAACAACGATGTCACAATTTCTCTCTCTCCACGCAACAAAAATGGACTTCTCCAGCCGTGTCTGCGCATCGTGAAAAGATCGCGTGAACTATTTTCCTTAAATCGTGCTCGTTGGCCGTTGTGAAAGGCAGAAATCTTGAATACCTGTTAAATGAGGATGGCCTGGTAAAACCCTTGATTGCAAAAGCTCACCGTGATGTAAAGTTCTCATATTTGCGTAACATGCATTCTAGCCCGATCTATCGCGCGGCCAGCAGACACGGATCCGTTCTTAACGATGGGGTCTTACAGTTTCCTGGTCCCCGCCGAGACTCACTTTTGAACTTTATCAGCCAGTCACCGGATACAAAAGAATCGGCGTTTTCTCTTTTCCGTCGCGAAAGTGCCGGTGTCCGTCGATTTTCAAATTAGAAGCGAAGCCGCATTGACATTTATGAAATTCGATGGACCCGTGCAGTGACCAGCGGCGACGAGCACTTGGCGAATATTCTCGCTACGTGGATATTCGACGTTGCTCGTCCTACTTGGAAACTTTCACTTACGTTGGCGTAAGAGGCCCAAATAACCACCGAGAGATTCGAATGGGATGAGTAAAGAATCTCGCGTCGAACAGTCAAATAGTTTCGAAACGAGTCTTTATCACATTGAAATAAGTGCATTCGCCTTTTTCTTCGAGATCGTTTTTCATAGTACAAAAAGTACTTTGGAAAGTTAATGTTGTTGATCTCTCGCGCGCTGCAATCCGATATTTCCTATTGCGCTACGATCAGGGCTGCGGATAAAAATATAGTTGGAGTGTAAAAACTTTGTTTAGCAATAATTACGAGAGCAGACCGCGAAACAAACGCTTCGCAGTGGATTGCACGAATTTCAATCGCCCAGTTCCCATGAAAGTCCGAGACGTAGAGCGGCAGATGATACGGTTCCCTTCTACGGGCCCACAGTTTATAGGTATATAGTTCTCTGAGAGCAGTGCGCTCATGAGCAATAACGTAACTGTTGAAGAGTGAAAGTGCCGTAAAGTGGGACACACCGTGGATAGGCGCCCGATCTTTTAATTAATAAATAAAGCAAGCGAACGCTCCTGTATCTCCCTTGTCTTCTGTGTCGAAACACCGGAAGACGTCCGTTTCGTACGACCTTGGCTAATATATTTCAGATCCGCGACGCTTCGTGGAAAAATATGATCGTCGCGATTGTTCTCTTCACTTGGCGGACCTTAAAAAATAATAAGCAAAAGATTTGCATTAGCAAAAGGATTCGTAGGCCTTGTAAGATAGATTTTGCAATCGACAATGTTCTCGATATCGACGTTAACTTTCCTTCGTGGCGAACTTTATTATATTGACATATTCACATAACCACGTTATATAATTGCATAATATACACTGTGTTAAACAAAAAGTATCGTTAATCGGTGTTATGTCTACTGTGCGCTTTCTATTTCTGTCGTAGAGAGTGCATTTTGAAATCTTGTTCGACCGGATATCTGAATAATATTATGCATTGCATATGTTACTTTCGACGGTGTCGAATTGCAGACAAAAGTAATCACGCGTCGCAGCTTCTGCAATTTGATGACAGAACGAAGCACCACGTGGAAGGGTAACTTAAATTCCCGCGGCCATTTCGCAGCAACGATGGCCGCACTCGCGGACATACGGTGTGCATGCGAAGCCTGCACGAAAATTCGTTCAACTGTCGACCGCATATTTTGCATTTTAGACCTGTACGGTTGGTTATTAGATTCTTATGTCGTGGTATGTAACAATAAATAATTATTGCAAATGTGTTTCATAATTATTTTTACTGCACTCGTCGATGATATGTCGAATCGTTTTTTCGATGTGTGTACATGTTAGACACGTAATCAATATTAGAGAAATAAACGAATAATTCTTTGTTTAACGTAGGACTTTTTCGAGGAGAGATTATGGGACAAATTGCCGGAAAGTTGGAGATTCGCTTTGCAAAATACGTCTCCGCAAGAGTTCGGCAAATGGTTGTCGGGAGACACCTCTTGGTGAGTGACGGTACTGATACCATCATATATTATACTTTTAATCTCATATTTTTTAACATTATTTAAAATTTTTTAATTATATGTTACAGCACCCAAGTGTGGCCTTTGTCGTTACTTGCGCTTCGTCAAGCGACTAACAGTTTGCAAATTAATAGAAATCACGAGGATCCAGAGGGCATTATATCTTGCAAATTGAATAATATAATGCAGGAGATTGATGAAAGAAAATTGAGTGAAGGCAAAGTGAATGTAACGAATGAATCTAGTCTCCTAGATAGTAAATTCGATAAATTATTCTCGAAGCATATAAAAAAGAAAAAGAAATACGAAATACAAGAAATAGCTAGAGTAATTCGCTTTTTTGTTTACATACGAGTGATTATATCTTAATGCATTGTGAGTACATTTGTAGGTATGCGCAAACTGTGCTTACGATTCTAATTGTAAATGTATTGTCGATATCGGGGCTGGAATGGGTCACTTGGCACGTATCTTGGCATTTCAACATGGATTCTGTGTTACCTGTATCGAACAAGATTATACGTTGTTACAACAAGCTAGGTAACATTTCTGAAACGTAAGATTAATATTATGATAAATATTTAATATTATGTTCATCGTAGAAAATGGGATCAAGAATTATTGCTGTCTGTAAAAAAGCATTTACCTAATTTTGATGAGAAGAGTCCACAGCATTATCCAGCTAAATTGGAGTTATCTAATTTAGTCGAATCAGAATTGGTCAGTCATTTACAAGATTTATTTCAGAATGGATTTAATTTAACCAAAACAGACACTACATTTGGTCTTGTAGGACTTCATCCCTGCGGTGATTTAGCTCCTTTGTTGTTAAGGTTTTATACCTCCAGAAGCGAAGCCAAATTCATTTGTATCGTTGGATGTTGTTACATGAAATTAACTTTAAGGTATGTACAACTAATTTGTGTATTATTATTAATGTCTTAATTGTTCTACATTCGATGATTCAATTTCAGATCGGAGATAGGTCGATCGAAGGGTTATCCACTTAGCCAGTACCTGATATCGCGTAAAGATAATGCATTGAGTTACATGTCGTTGGAAGTAGCATGTCACGCCATAGAAAAGTTCTGTGATAAATTGAAGACTGGGAATTATGAAGATTTAATAGTTAAGTGAAATACTGAAAATATGCTTGATCATGTTACTTAACGTGTTATATTTCAGGTACACACTTATAGAGCAGCGTTAGAAACCATTTTAGTCAAGAAAACCGAAAAATTGCGACATAGCCAATTAAGGAACGTCAAGGTAACAAAAGGCATGACGTTTCAACAGTTGAGTATCTTACATTTTTAAATGAATTTCCAACGATTATTAATTAAAAAGATACAAATAAATGTATGTTAATCATTTAGGTACTGCATTGCAGCAACGTCGCATTTTGAGACTCGCTTACAACCAGAAGACAGCGAAATTAATAATTCAGAAATTGCCGGCCACTTAAATTGCTGGCAACAAGTTCTAATGTTCGGGTCGTTACGAATAATGTTGGCGCCATTAGTAGAGACAGTTGTGCTGCTCGATAGATTTTTATTTCTATCCGAAAACAACTTATCCCCAACGTTGAAACCCGTATTCGATGGCAAATTGTCGCCACGGAATCTAGTGCTAATGTCTAGGAAAATGAATTAGTCGATTAATCGTTCCGAATTTACCCCCTCGATAGCTGTTTCGAACACGAATCGATCCGCCGCAACGGAAAACATTTCCGGAATCGCAGTTCCCGCGTCCACGAATCAAAGTTGGCCCGACTTACAATGTGCCTTTGATTGGACAATACCATTTAATTACAACTCTCGATGAACAATGCATTTCAATTACCTTCCCTTCACACGTGCGCCACGATTTTCGACAATTTCGCGAAACTGCGCGACACGCGAGCGATATCGAAAACGATTACGAATCCGTCGTAAGTGGAAATCCATCGTCGATCCGACAACTGGTGAGAATCGCGCGAAGAGCGTGGGGTCGGGAACCGGCGAGCCAATCGGCGAACGTATCGCGAAACGTCACCGTTGGCGGAGGCGCGTGCGCGCGATTTCGCCCTAAGGATTCGTCGGTGTTGGAGCCGCGGCGTCGTTAGATAGCGCTGTAGTAGCCGGCTACTTGGCTAGAAGCAGAGACGTTCCTCTCCAGCAACACCGAGATCCAGTTTCCCTTAAGCCGCTCTCGCGTGTTTGTCTGTTCTCGTCGCGTTCGCGTCGTGTCCTACCGATTATTTTCTCCTTCCTCCCCCCCTCCCCCGCCCGCGCACGAGATCGTCGACACGGTAGAGAGCCGCGCGGTATACACACGGACGTGTCGTTGTAGCACCGAGTGTCCCGCTATAAAAGTAATTGCCCGGTGCCGAGCCCCAGGATGGCGTTCAACGGAGATGGACCACACTCCAAAAGGCAGCGACTCGAGGAATCCGGCCACAGGGTGAGTAGCATATACCAGAGGGCAGCGTAAAACATGTACATCGTACAATCCCGGTGTGTGCGTGTGTGTGTGTCTGTGTGTTGGTTTCTCGCGAAAAATTGAACGATCCGGGCTTACAACGGGAGCAGTCCGTGTACAGGTAGACGAGACTGTGTTCGGTCGGCACCGACTGTGTCCTCCTCTCTCTCTCTGTGTTTTCTCTGTCTTCTTGCAAGTGCACGGGTACGTGGACACATACTGGCGGGTACCGCGGGTCAGAGGCGAAGGAACGCGTGCGTTTCGGCGTGTCGCGCGAGAGATTTACAACCCAACGAGGCGGCCGCGAGACACCGGAGGGGGGAAAGTCGCCATTTATCCGGTCGCTTTTACCCGTATCACCGCCACCGCGTCGAAACAATGGGCGATGCGCGCGCTCTCCAAGGAGGATTGTCTCGTGTCTCTCGGTATACTCTGTGTCTCTCTCGCATAAATACGCGAACGAAACGCACGCTAGACTATCCGATACGTGGCTCTCTCGTGTTTCGGCAGCAACCTGTTATCTCTCTCTCGATATATCTAAGTGTGTGTGTCTGTGTGGAGGGCCAGCCCCGCGAGCGTACACGTCCGTCGTTGTTTCATCAACGATCCGGGATCGTCGACGACGACGACGACGACGACGCCGTCGCCACCGTCGTCCGTTGAAAAGACCACCGTCGGTTCCATCGTCGTCGTCGTCGTCGTCGTTATTGGCGACGGCCGTGCGCGAGGATGCACGTTCAAAACAAACCCCCGTCGACGTGAGCCGGGGTCGATAATTTCCATCGCGTTATCAACGGCGTCGCGACGCTACACGAGGCGGAGGCGTTGTCGCGATGCCCCTCAACGTTTACGCGATTATCTCGACGGCCGGTTTCGTCTTTATACCGTGACCCACGGAATTATACAGTGGGACCGGCATCTCGGGGACAATAGCAGAGCAAACCCGTGCGCTTTGGTTCACCGTATATACGCGGGGGGGAGGGGGCCCTAGACACGCACACCACCAGTCTGCTACGGCCGCCGCCGGCACACCGATGCTCCTCTCTTATCAAACCGTTTGTTTGGAGGCGACGTTTTCCTGCTGAAATCGATCCCTGGGCATTTCTGTTTAAACTCGTGTTTACCGAATGTATTCGTCGAGGGTTTCGAAGGTACGAGACACCTTATCGGTGCTTGTATACATATATATATCGTTTATAATTTACGTGTATCGTTGTTTTGATTTTCTCTTTTTTCTTTTTTTTTGTTTTGTCACAATTTCACTGTTCCTTCGTACGATGCACTTAAGAGCATTTCCTCTTGTTTTATATTAGCATTATGTTTATCGTATTACCTTTGTTATTTCTTTCTCATCCTCAGGCTACACACGTGCTTCTTGCCAGCGAATTCGTGCGACACGTTTTAGCTTTTCATTTTTGTGAATATAGTTTATATATGTATTATATATAGTATTATATATAGTATTATTATGTATTATATGTAGTATTATATATAGTATTATTATATACATATTATTATGTAGTATTATATAAAGTATTATTATATACATATTATTATGTATTATAGTAATATATATAGTATTATATATATATTATTATGTATTATATATAGTATATATATAGTTTAGTGTATCGCATCGTGTTTTTGGTACACAGTGTGTAGGGAGAAGTGTCGTAGGAACCGTCGTCGACGAGTAACCGCGTTCATTCGGTTGCATCATGCCGGCGAAATAGGAAACGTAGTGAATTATGACGGAGCGGCAATACAATCGGTGTGGCCGTGCATTTCTCAATCGAAACATCGAGCGCGCATTGACCGTAAGTCATTAAAAGGACGCTTTCTATACGCCACTATGACTCGTGTTACGCGACCGGGGATCGCCCCGATTGTCACTGTAAACAAACCCGCGAAATTGTTAAAGGAGTAAAAAGTCTCTCCCTGCCCCGGACGGAGACGGGAAAGGTCATTGTCGCGACCAACTACTTGGTGACCTTCGTTCCACGGTTGCTAGCACTGTGCATGCTGCTGAGAACACATGCCACAGATGATGTAACTGTAGGCGCCAATGCGTTACATATGCATGTATGCCAATCATATTTTCACACGATGCGCGTCGACGCACCTTGATCGGACATTGACCCTCGGTTACTTTTCTTTTTTCCCTCCCCCTTTGTAATTAAGCGTCGCGTTCGTTCTTCTCTGTGTACGTTGTCCGTATCGAGTCAACAGATATCACATCCCAAAAGTGTGTATCGTTAACCGTTTGAGCCTCAAGCAGCGCGATCCCGCTGTTTAGATTTTTAGTCGAAAAGTTAGAGGACATTTGAACGTTATGGACTAATATATATAATATTATATATTATATATATATAATAATATTATAATAATTATTATTATATTATATATATATATATATAATAATAATATTATAATAATAATTATTATATATATATATATATATGATAATAATATTATAATTATTATTATTATTATATTATTATTATATTATATTATAATATTATGGACTAATATATGAGCCGCTTATTTCGAAAGTGGCATAAGTCACTTTACCGTAATGAAAAGTGGTGATTTTTTAATGTTTATACGAAATTATTTATACTGGGAAAAATATCAGTATCGTTAACCGTTTGAGCCTCAAGCAGCGCGATCCCGCTGTTTAGATTTTTAGTCGAAAAGTTACAGGACATTTGAACGTTATGGATATATATTAATATATATAATAATATTATATATATATAATAATATAATATAATATAAATAATAATTATAATATTATTATTAATAATTATATATAATATTTTTTAATATTTATTAAATATATAATATAATATTATAATATTATGGACTATAATATATATAATAATATTATATATATAATATATATATATATATAATAATATAATATAGTATAAATAATAATTATAATATTATTATTATTAATAATTATATATATAATATTATATAATATATATATAATATTTTTTAATATTTATTAAATATATAATATAATATTATAATATTATGGACTATAATATATATAATAATATTATATATATAATATATATATATATATAATAATATAATATAGTATAAATAATAATTATAATATTATTATTATTAATAATTATATATATAATATTATATAATATATATATAATATTTTTTAATATTTATTAAATATATAATATAATATTATAATATTATGGACTAATACATAAATAATATAACTAACACATTTTGTATTTCATTGTTATCTTCTCAACAATTTTTATTGAACAAAACTTGAAATATTTATAAACTGATAGCACGCGTATTAAGACAAAAGCGGTATCGCGCTGTTCGGCATTTTTCGAGCGTGTTTTTTCAACGACCCGTAGGACTCGAATGGTTAATGACATTTCCATTGAGATTTCGTGACACGGTGATTCAAGGAATATGTTTATTTTTGTTTATTATTGTGATTACAAATTGATGTCGATGTTGTGTTGCAGAGATGTGTGGTGTCCTGTGTAATTGACGGCAAAATCGTACTCGTTACATTTAGATTATATGTACACAGTTGCAAACAAACGTAATGTGTAAACAATATTGTTTTTATGTTTTATCTTCTTGTCTTCTTGAAGTAATAGAACGGTATTAAAATCGGTATACAAGGAGTTATTTTCTATTCAATATTATTCTTCGTTAATTATTGCAGAATGTTTTATTTAGCATAACTAAACGCTAAGCGCAATCATAATGTACGCAATAGCCGTTCGTTTTTGATATACGTTTAAATATTTCTTTAAATAACGAATTTAAATAATCGAATGTAAGTTAAAAAATAATAATTGCTGTTATAATTTATTTGTAATAATATTCATATTAATAAATAGGTGATACAGTGACAGAAAAAAAGATTCAAATTGCATACGTATTAATAATGAATTTATTGTATTACAAAGGTAACGTTAATTGATACAATTTTTCTGTAGTAAGTGAATTTGAAAAATATAAACGCTATCCTTAGTGGATATCGTACAAAATTATTTGTGTAGAGGTGAATCAAGTGTAGTGATTGTCGTCGCTAAAAGGCATAATTAGCGTAATTAGTTGTTTTCGTTGCATTTGTGTTCGTTGTGGTATTGCGATTTCATTGATAAAAATTGTTCATTGTAGTTTTCGTCCGTTCGAATGTCATGCGTTATAGTACGCTCGTGTTTACTTACTATAAGATGAATTACAATTCATAAGTGTACATATGCATTATCAATGTTTTCTGCGAAGAATGGAGGATAAAAAATGCTATGAGTATTTTATTGAATAGACTAAGAAGTTGAAAATGTAAATTAATTATTTAGGTTTTATCAAGTATGCGATAATTTTACAAAATATCGCAATAAGCATCATTCACATTACATTCGTTTTATACTTATTATAAAAATAAAATCAGTGAAACAACAATTTTGTAAGGATATTCTGATTTCTCGATTCCAAAGATGATAAAAGAAACTGTGATTAATAATCTAATGCCAAATCGGAAGATATATTAATACTGTCTTGCTCGTGTAAAGTGAAAAATAAAATTATGTTTACAATATAAAAAGTTTTGATTATTGTCCCTGAAGTGTGAGAAAGTACGAAAAATTTTAACATAAATTAACGTAAATTTTAAACGCTTTAATCTAGAATTTGATTACAAATTCAGCGCAGTTTATTTTGTACGAGTCCGGCTAGGAAATTTTCGCGTAGACTTTCCTGGCGATAACAATAACATTTCTTTGCACACGTTCAATTGTCCTGTTTTGATTTTTCCAATTCTTTTCGAGGGCATGTCTCTTTCAGAAATGCCCAACGTTACACGCTCGGACCGGTTGATCCACTCTTTGCTTCTTTGTAGAATGTACGGATGGAATCTCGTTCCAATTGTTATGTTCATAGTTCTCAGCACGTTTAAGAGGGGTTCAACCCCTCTTCGAAAG